GTAAATTTACTTTCCCTTCAGCCTGAGGCTTATTCGTTTCACTTTTGGTGTGAAAAGGCTTTTATATTTGCCAAAAACAGAACTTTTTTATTTTAAAAACAAGCAAGCAAGCCCTGTCCAGATTTAAAAAGTAACGCAACGCATTACTTTCCATAAAAAGTAACTAAGTAACGTAATTAATTACTTTTTTATGGAGTAACGCAATATTGTAATGCATTACTTTTAAAAGTAACTCTCCCCAACACTGCTGGTTACAGTCCTCACCTGTAGTTTAAGAGTTTAGCTCTGCAAGTGTAATCTAAAGGCTTTTCAGACTTTCTGAAGTCAATTTCTCCCAAAATTAGTGACACCTACACTTCCTAAAATATAAAGGCAGCTATCAATAAGTATTGATTATGTAATACTTCTGGTCATTGGTGTAGTGGTGCCTGGAGAAGTGGGTATATACTCTTAATTTATGCCCCCATTTATTTAAAGCGACCCAGCAAAGGATAAACACTCTGTGTTATAAACAGTAAGACTGATAGACATGTAAGACTAGTCTTGCATATTTAGCTCACCCCAAAATGGGCCAGTAGTATTTGCATATTGTCAAAGTAAAGACCATCATAAAATTTATATTAGTTCATTAATATTAATTTATTATTAATAAAAATAGCCACAAAAGAGGTGCAGATTTTGGAACAACTCAATTTTTAAAAATTAAATAGACTGCAACAATTAACATTTTGTCAGAACCTCTAGTAAACTCCTTCAGCCAGCATTCAGTATAAAACACTCAAGCTTTTAAGCCAAATACACGCTGAAAATAATAATTTACTGACATCTCGATGTGACTCAATCTCTGATGAAATCGGTCTTAACTGTGTGTTACTTACACAGAACTTACTGTTTGAATGCATTCTTTTACTGGATGCTTGGACTGAAAAGTTTACAGGAGTTTACCGGTTTAAACACATGCGATTGGATGAGCTGCTCTTGTGCTGGACTGTTGTGACTGTGGCTAATGCAGGACACTGAATGATGCTCATCAGTGGTTTGTGACGTAACCACCCATCTCCTCCTCGTCTCCCTGCAGACTATCTGTTCGGCCAGCAATCTGTGCGAGGCCAGAGACAAGTTCATGGCCGACTGGTGTCCGGAGACCAGCCCGGAGCTGAAGGAGATCCGGGTGGTGATGGAAGACAACAGATACACCGCGGCCATCTGGATCATCTCTGACGGGACTGAGCCCAGAGCGCCGCACACCGGCCCGCGGGTCGCATTCAGAAAGAACGTGTAGAGGGTTCGGCGGAGACTTCCTGAAGACTCACAGACAGAAGAAGCGCAGCACTGACACTGAGCTCATGTACCAGTATAGTTTAACACTGATGGTTTATGTTCAGTGTACAGTGACTGAGCATTACTCGCGCTGTGGTACTGCAACTCCCCAGATTTCAGTCCTGGGCTGCTTCTCATTTCTTATCTGTGCATCCTCGCCTCTTAGCTCCACTCCCTGAGGATACGAGGGAAGGATGCAAGGAAAGGAAACGAGGACGGAGGAATCAAAGGATGAACACTGGAATATTCTTGACCACTCAAGCGTCCTCAGCTGCGCTAAAGGGATCTGCCCTTGTTGTTTAAGGTCATTATTTAAGGCATTCATAATAAATATTAATAAAGCAAGATGCCCTGTTGAAAAATATGACATGCATGGTTTATGTAAACTGCAAAGGTAAAATATAAATGTAAATTTTTACAACAGATGTGAAGGGGGAGGAGAATTTCTACATGCGTCACGTTTAGTCGATGAAACACTTCTGCAAAGGATACACCTCCTCGCCTCCTCGATCCTCGCCTCCTCGTGCCATTAGAGAACTGAGATGTCCTACAAGATGACTGAGCTCGACTGCTCTCAGGGTCATCGGCCGGAGGACGGAGCAGCGAGGAAACGAGGAGGGATATTGAGAAGCACCGCTGGTCAGTTAGTTTCTCTCTCCTTTCTTACGGCTGAGCTCATCAAGCTCTCATCTAATGATGATCTGAATCTGTTTCTCCATCAGCAGGACTGAAAAAGCACTGCTTTCTGTGAAGACACAGCAATCTACACGATTTAAACAATAAAACATACATTTCATATAAAATGGCCTTTTATTCAAATCAGGATGTCTATAAGCATATGTGTTTTACTCTTCATGCAAAAGTAAGAAAAAGAGAGGCTTTGACTCAGTTTGGAGCGTCACAATGAAGCCCATCAGAGCAGCGCTGGAGAGCTCTTACAACATAAATGTGCTTATTTATCAGATATTAGTGTGTTTAAATTGGGTTGTAATATATTAAATTGCCTGAAAAACACTGTGTTTGAAATGAATCACACAATATGGTGATTGTGGTGTATGTGTGTGTTTAGATGCTGCTCTTCCACAGACGTTCATGCTGATAGTCAAATCTGTGAGGCAGTCAGAACTAAAACATGCCTTTTAAATTCATTGACTCGAATTCAAAGCCAATCTGGAATTGTAATTCAAGGCTGAATTCAAGAAAATAGAAATAAAACAGAGTCAAATTCAAATTTCTTCCCGAAATGAATCACACATAAACTGTCATCATACACACAATACATAGGGCAAGACACCTATAAATAATCTCACATTTACATTTAGTCATTCAGCAGATGCTTTTATCCAAAGCAACTTACAAATGAAGACAATAAAAGCAATCAAAATCAGCAAAAGAGCAATGATAACCCAGTGCTATAACAGTTCTCTGTCGGTTCCACTTTTTGAGCGTAGACCTGAAAATGACATTTCCAACTTAAATTATTATACATTTTGAATGCTTTGGAGCACAGAGTTAAGGTTGGTCTCTTTTTAAAGAAGACACTTGGCAGATTATTGTAGAAGTGAAAAAAGTTATGGAAGTTTAAGTTTATGAACCATCAAACCCACATTAGTAACCATATAAGGGCCCATTTCCATATATGGTTTGAGTGATCTGAAACATGTTTTTCCATACTTCACATCACATTCAGAGGCATTAAAGCCAGTATGGCACTATTTGATTTCAATTCAACCTCTAAAAAACAGATAAAAGCAATGCGACGAGAACCCTGGACCTGTGTTTTAGTTCACGCTGCATCAAAACTGCAGAATCTATTGTTTTTTCTTTATTTTCAAAACACTTTTAGACCTTTTTTTCTCAAAAAATAGAATGGATGTTATCTTTTGAACACTTGACATGAAAATGAATGGAGGTTTTTACTGATTTTTCATATGTGCATCACTATTTCAAAGTAAAGATCATAATTCGCTCTCTGACTCTAATGAGCACTCTTCTAGCAAATTAATAAATTACTGTTGCTCTGTAAAATATTTCAAAATCAGTCACGACATATGAAAACTTGAAGCTTTCAAACGATATATAGTTTGTCAAGATTACTTTCGGTTCAGACTAAGATATTACTAAGACAGTTAACCGGTTTTAATGCAGTACACGTAGCGAGGTTTTTCTTTAATAAGCATATAATTGAGATATTTCTATATTTTTAATAAATGAAATGAACACTTAAATGTTAACATGTCATAAATGAATATAAATGTTTAGTTCAGCTTAGTTATTTATTAAATGAGGTTTCTATTGTCCTCTTGATTAAAGCGCGCTCGGCGCAGAGACACGCATGCGCAGTGCAGCCGAGGTGCTGATGCTGAGTCCAGAAGCAGCTTCACACGGGCCCGTGAATGTAGGACAACCGGACCGAAGCGAAGCTCAGCGTCGGTTCTGTCT